TCCTGCTGATTCTGAAACAATCTGGAGATTTCCCAAAAATGTTTATTTCACAAAAATGCATGGAGACACCCAGAGCAGGAAGAGGTAGCGGTGAGCTGTGAGCGTGGGAGGAATTCCTAAAGTCAAGTTCTTATGGATGCTGGGAAGTGAGGTCTGGGGAAAGGATTTCAGCCTGGATGACTCTGAGATCTGTAGGTATGCCAAGAGCCGCCACAGCTAGCAGGGCCCCTGCCACACTTTCTCACCTGGGCCCTGACTTCTCTGAGACCTCCGGCCAGGCACAGGGCTGCATCCATGGCTTCCCCAGCACCCCTGGAAGACATCACATCTCCTTGATCTCTCTCCTTTTAGAAAGCATTGGCAGGTCAGTTTCCCTCTATCTGTACTCATTGATCACATATGGATACATGACCGTAACCCCGATTTATGGTGGGGTCCTCTCTCTTAATATGGCTTCCGTGTTTGCATGTCTGCAAATGATTCTCTTGCTGTTGAGGTTGGGAGGTTCCGGGACTGTGTGGCCCTCCTGCCACCTCCATCTAAGAGAAAGCTTCATCGAAGACAAGAGGTACTTCTCTTTGGAGACTGAGAATGACAAAAGGAAAGGAGAAGTAATCCAAGATGGGGAGGAAATAATTATCATTTGTGACTCTGACTGTCCCCCAACTGAAACATCACGGTCACCATCCAATTTCTGACCTTGTTGGAATTATAGCTAGGGAGAGAGTTTTGAAATCAATTCAACGAATAATCTAATTGAAGAGTGACTTTTTCCTCCCCTTTACTGGGGGAGAGAGGAAGAAAGAGAGACCGAGGTATTTTGCAGTCTCACCATGTCACCGTCCTCCTGCCCCAGCGTCCCAGTTAGCTATGGCTACAGGTGTGCGTGACCTCACCTGGTATGTTCAGGCCAGCCTGACAACAGACCCCAGGCCTCCCGTGCAGCTCCAGCCTCCCAAGGGGTGGCCCTACCTGTTTCCTAGAGAGAGATGAGCGGAAAGGACGGAGCTTTCACGCAGACCCTGTTCAACTTCCACAAAGCAATCACGAAGCACATTTTAAAACTGACTTATTAAAGTCTCATTTGATAGAGAGATGAGAAGTTACTTCCTGCCATTTGCCAGGTCATGTGAAAAGAACTTTCCGAGCACAGGTTGATGCAGACACTGCATTCGAAGGGATGACAATGTATTCATTCATAAGACTGGCAGACCCCGATTTCGTCGCTCTGATTAAATTCCAGGCCGGGAAGCTTCCCTCCCTCTTTCTATGTTCCCCTCTCACTCTGCCTGCTTTCTGCCCCAAGCCAACCTTCCCTTTAGGCTTCCAGTGCTGTCTTGGTACTTCCTGGCCCCTGGAAGTTCTCAATGGAGCAAAACACTAAGCTTGTCCTTCTGCAAAGTACCCAGGGCCCAACATATAATCTCCCCTCCTTTCCCCTCACCCCATCCAAAACCCCTGTTCAGATTCTCAGTTAAGTGGGGGGGAGCAATCAGGCCCACTAAACCAATTCACTCTAAAGTGTAAATGATTGATAAACCCATAAACACCCCTTAGCATTTTAAAAGAGGGTCTTATGCATTTGTTGCGTGCATTTCAAACACGGGAAGGAGGGGTCTGTTTTGCTTACCACATAAGCACTGAAATCTGCTATATAAAAGTTGAGTCTTTTCACAATTGATAATCAGTTCCATTGGTCGAATTAAAACCTTCGGGACTGCATTATAATTCTATGGTCACATGGCCAGTGTTACAGTGGGCCCTGCCTTGAGTAAAGCAACTAGATGAGACAAACACGTTCTCTGCGCTTGATCCTGGCAAATCTAGAACTAGACTGAGTCGATCTTATGTCTATCCTTGCGTGAGCCAGACAGAAAGTCCCCAAAATAACCAGAATGGCTGCATCCAGGCCACGTCCTGGGTGGCATTTAGCATAACGAGAAATGAGATAAACTCTGATTTCTATAATAAGCTTCCTGCCCCCTGCCTTCCGCCTCTTCGTAGATTTTGCTTTAGCCTTTACCCTCTGGGCTTAGAGTCACTTCCACTTTCAGTGCTCCAGGTCCTGAGACGGAATAGGAAGAATCTCAGATG